TTTAAAAAAAATTTTTTTTGATTTTTCCTTTTGGGGGTGGGCAAAAAAAAAAAAAAAAAAAAAAAAATTCCCTAGTTCAGCATATATGCTGTATGTTACAGCAGCGGTCCATTTATTATAGGATCCAGAATAATTTATTTTAGGATCAGGCAGCTGGTGATCTGTGGTAGACAGATATAGTTAGGTTTTGTAGAGCGTTGTTAGGCACCTGAACAATGGAGAAACAAGAGCAGATTGTAAAGTTTCAGTCTGAAAACTATTTAAACAGCAGAACAAAACTGGGCCTTTTAATTTGGATGAATTTATTCAATAAGGAGGAAAAAATGTCATAAAAAAATAAAGCAAGGTGCTGCTGTTTTCATTAAGTGGCATTTAAATTATATCATAGTGTGGTTAGACAATTTGTATGCGAGGATAGTTATAACAGAGCTCTTCCTTCCTACTGCTTGCTTAACAGGTTTTGTTCATGATCTGATTTTAAATCATGTGTCATGTCTTTGGCTTGTTTCAGTTTTGCTTCACCCTTATAAACATATGATCTAAATGATAGATAATATGCATTTCTTTGTGAGAGATAAAACTTATAATAATAATAACTGAGCACAAGAAAAAGGTTTTTCTGTATTTTATGCAACGTACAACTGAACAAAAAAAAAACATTATTAATGTTAACATTATTATTAAATACTTGTTGCATAAGTGTGCAAACCCTAATACTAATATTTAGTTGAAGCACAAAATATTCCAAAAACCTTGTTGGAAAATGTGTTGATGTCTGATAAAACCAACTTTTCACCTTTGGACCCCAGTTTTCTAAAGCGTAAGTTTTATAAACAGCCCTGCACATCACTCAACCAAAGTGAAGCATGGTGGTGGCAGCGTCATGCTCTGGGGGCTTCTTCTTTCCAGATAAAACAAAGGTTTTTGCAGTGAGCTTTGGATGTTACGCTCTCTCTGATCTGCCAGAGAACTGAAGTTGAAGGCTGATTTTTTTATGTGAGGCTGACCTCGAGAGGAAATGTGGCGTTGCGTAGATCAGAACAAAATTAAGCAGAAAATCTTTTAAATCCCTTGAACAGTGTTGAGAACAAGCAATATATGTCCTTCCAGTCAGAAATGCGGAGAACCTTTTCAAGTTTGTGGCCAAAGGTCAAGATGCAGCCGCATAGACTGAACGCAGAGATGGGACCAAAAGCTGCTGCAACAGAATGTTAGTTTAAGTGTGACCACGCACACAGTGAATAAGCAGGTTATTACGACAACTTTTTTTTACTTTTCTCTCTCTGTTTCCCTCTGATGGATTGGTCTTTTGGTTGAAAATCTCTCCTCATGTTGGAAAACATTTTTAAATGATTTGTCACGGTCTATTTCTTTCACATTTTGTTTGCACCACCTTAATTTAGCTTTGAGCAAATTGACATTATGAATGTCTCCCAGAGTTTTACAACAATAGATAATAGGTTATGCGTAGCTAAAGTTAATTTCACTCATGTGCATCAGAGCGTTCTCTGTAAAACGTACAATCTGATTGTAGTACTACTTGTTCTCTTACTTGTTCTTAATGTTGCGTTACCTGATCGCAGCACTTTGTTTTCTGCCTGGAGGTCTTATAGCTCATCCCTGAAGCATCTGAGTCAACCTTGTTCTGAATCGGCTCCAAGACTGGCTCCCTGCTGGGAAAGAAGCCGCTCTGGTTTTGATTAGATGTTCAGAGATATGTGAAGGTTGCTGAAACACAGTGACCAATCATTATTCAGCAGGAACAGTTAGTTCTCTGTTGTTGTTTTAGTCGACTGTTTGTTCACACACAACCACATAATGAAAGTGCCCGATAAAGAACGTAATATGTTCATCTGAATTATGAGAATTAAACTGAAGCAGAACAAACAAAGAACTCTGTGTGCTCAATAAAACCGGGAAGATGGAGCACATCACCCCAATTCATAACCTAAAGTCATAACCTACACTGGCTCCCTGTATCTCAAAGAACAGACTTTAAAATACTGTTGCTAGTTTATAAATCACCAAAATACATTAAAGATCTGCTGCTGTTGTATCAACCTCCCAGACCTCTCATGTCTTCTGGTTCTGGTTCTGCTCTGCATCTCCAGAACCAGAACCAAACATGAAGAAGCAGCATTCGGCCACAAGTCTGAAACAAACTCCCGGAAAACTGCAAAACATCTGAAATATTGATTGATCGACCTTTTCACACTCACTGTAAACAGAATTATTTGATGATTGGTTGAAACAAGACAGAAAACTCTTCTTTGCAACTCAAACTCTGACAAATTTGACGGAGAGTGCCGGAGAACATCAGATTTCAAGAAGTGTGCAGCGTCTCGATTGTATTTAGATCTGGACTTTGATTAGGTCAGATACCCCCAGGTGGATGTTTAAAGTCTTGATGAACTTCTGCCTCCCCTTTTCTTCTATTATTGACCTGCATTTAGCTCAGTTCATCCTTCCATCATCTCTGATAAGCTTCACTACCCCCGCTGGGGAAAAAAACACTCCACAGCATAATGTTGCCATCACCATGTTTAATGCATTGGGACTTTCTGTAACTTTCTTTCCACAATCATTTTCTTCATGCCATCAGTCACATTTGTGGAATGCATCCCTGCTGGTTGTCCTGTCGATGGTTTCTTTCCTCTGAGCTTTTCTGAGCCATTTTGCTTTAAGGACAGCTAATAAAGCTCTTTGAGAGCCGCAACTTCAAAAAGTCTCCACAGCTGGACCCAAATCTGGGGCAACAGAAACAAAGCAGAACATTGTTGCAGACAGTTTAGCCATTTAACAAAATAACAGCTCATTATTGAATCTACTGCACTGGGAAATAAAAAAAAAAGTGTATAAAAATAGTTAATAAAAAATAGTTTTTATTAATATGAAGATATAGTTTGGCATTTCCAGTACTCCGTAAACATTCAGATTATGTCTAGTTATATCAGTGTGGAAAAGTACAGCATTCAACTTGGAAAAAGCCAGCTGTATAACATCGGTGGACTTGTTTTTGGAGTTATGTGCGCGGCATTACAAAACAGGGGTGGAGGCAGACGGTGAAAAAGGCCTGGCACGTTTTGCGCACCTGTGCCGAGGCTGTTATGCAGTCTTGCAGCATTATGTTGATTCATTACACACTAACACACTGAACCAGCTCAGCAGCACATGAGCCGCCAGGTGTCGGTGACGCCGGCTTCCTGATCTGGAGGCTTTAAAGGCGGCGACGAGACGAGAGGGCAAACGCATCCCACTCTCATCTATGAGGAGGACGGTTGCATTTAGAGGAGAACGGAGAACGTTCTAGTGAAGTGCTGCGGCTGAGGACAGTGATGGAGACTTTAGGTGAGTCGGAGCTCTCGGGTGATGAACACGTAGCAGATCTGATGTGGTCGTTATCTGTAATAAACCATTCACCGGATAAAGGATTTAAAGTAAAATAAACAGAAAAAAACGTGTCCTCAGGCTGATCCCAGTACGCTTTTATGGGATTTTACATAAACAATTATATTCCTCTACAAGGTTTACATTCAGCTGTTCTCTGTGGAAGAACAGCTGGAAGAAAACTGTGAATCAGAAGATTTCCATTCATGTCCAGTTTCTTACAATGAATTCGGTCAGATGGTTGTATTTAGGTTGTTTTTATAAACATCTCGTTTAAAAATTATATTTTATTGCTTTAAGTCCAATAAAGATCGTAGAATTTAGATTAAGAGTGGGTTTGTGTAAAGGTTGCCACCCTTTAATTGTAATTTTCATGAAGGTACCCTACTAACATATTGGCCGAATCAAAAGCTGTCTACGCTCACAAGCTGATGTTGTTGAAACAACTACAAAGACGAACTTTGACCAGTCTATTTTATTTATTTTTTTTTTTTATCAAATCAAATTTTTCCCCCTCCCCAAAAAATACATGAACAAAATTTTCAAGTGATGTTGAAATTGATAAAATAAAATAAAAAAAATGTTTTCAGATGATGAAAGGCATTTTGGATGTTTTGCAGCTGTTATCAGTGACCACATCTGTGGACTGGCGTTTATTTTTAGCATCCCACGGGTCTGTCTTTGCTTAAGTTAAAAGACAGAAAAGGACAACTTGCTTGTCAACTCAATACTGAAGACTGAAGGGAATCTTGTCAGTCCTGTTGATCTGAGTGACTGAGGAATGTAACAGGTGTCCGGATTTCAAATGGGCAGCTTGTTTTTGTCATTTTTACCTATTTAGTTTGGTGTCGCCATTCATTAGAGATAAGTGTTTTTTTTTTGTTGTTTTTTTTAATCATTCACCTCTAGTTTTACATCATGCAAAGTTTTTCCTAATCCACGTAAGGAGTTGAGACATTGGCAGGTTTTCCAACCGGACACATTGAGCATACATTTATATCTACAGATTGAAGTTGTAAAAGTCCAAACATGAGGAGGCGTCATGTCCTGAATGTCTGGACATGAAGTCAGGTCTACAATGGGTGTGAATGGAGTTGACTTTCAGAAGATGTGTGCTGTTGATTCTTATGTTGCTGTAAGTCAGAATATTTTGGGGGTTTTTCCAAGTTGATTAATGAGACGTAACACCCAAGTCTTCAAAACCATGTCCCAAATCTTTAAGTGTAAAGAGCTCATACTAGTATGATACACTTATTACAAATTTTTCAGATTTTTTTTATGACTTTTCCTTGACTTATATACTTTTTATGGCCAAATGAAGTTAAGTGTTTGACCAGTGCCTCATTTGAGCATGTAAAAGTCATATTACACAAATATTGTTTTCAAGAAAGTACAAGACTTATAAAAATGTAATAAAACACATATTCTTTTTTAACTTTTTGCATGACATTTTGACACTGGCAGGTTGTTGTATGACTGGTTTCTGGCAACTAAGGGCATCGGGCTGACACTTTAAATAGTTTACTCCCAGTGAGATTCCCAGGTATTGTTGGTATTTCAGGAAGCCGTATAGAAGACTCAAGCTTCTATCAGTAAGATTTTAATTTGAATATGATCTTACTTTTAGTCTAAATGTTTTGTTAGATGAATTTTATTAAAAGAGGAAAAGCTGTCAGCACTGCTGAGTCTGATTTAATAATGTGTTATTGCAGGATTATTGGAGAAATTCCCATAAGTATGGAGTCTATTAAGGTAGAAAGGTAAGAATGTCCATCAACTCTTTATAAATAAAAAGACCTGGTGTTTGGTCTTTTTATTTCATAAAGCTCACCAGATGTGAAGCTCTGAACTCGCCTTAAGAACTGAGAATAATCCAGAGGTTTTTCTAATTTCAGCGCGGCGTCTCCAGCGGTCTTGTTGAGTTTTTCTCTGATGGTAATCATGCGGGGGCTTTCTCTCTCCACTAGTGTGTCCGATGGGTGGAGGAGCCACCAGGCTGTACAACACCCTGACTCAGACGTTCAGCGGCAGCAGCTCCCCCCTGTCCCTCCCTCCATCCTACCTGAGCCCCCACCAGCCCGCTCTTACCAACCTGGATTCAGATTTCTGCCTGGTAAACAAACCTTCTGCAGTTCTAAAATGCTTTATTTTATTTTGTTTGTTCATGACGTTGGTTATATTGGTTACACTTTTCCGCCTATAAAGCAGAACGCTATCTGTTGTGTGTTTCTGGGCGCAGCAGCAGAAGAACTCCCCCGTATGCCCCCTTGATCCAGTGGAGCTGCTTCAGCAGTGTGAAGAGGCCCTCAGGGACCGACCTCCTCACCTGCAGAGAAACTTTGTCTACATCGATCATGGAGACGACGTTGCCAGCGTCCCCATCAGGGTGATGCAGTGGAACATCCTAGCCCAAGGTAGACTGATTTTTATTAGCATCAGCTCATAAAAAAACATGTTTATTGAGGAAATGTGCATTTCACTTTAATTAGTCTGAACTGTGGAGTTTTTTTTTTGTTTTTTTCCATATCCTAAGAGACGTTATCTGAGAGGCTGCAGCAGCACTCTGAGGCTTTGCTTCACTATTTGCTATACTATTTCTAGTATTTTCTCCAGTGTTTCTTCAGTGAGTGTCATTACACATCAATACATTTGAAAATATGATTAAATGCAGTTAGTGAGAATGTATGACTGGTGTCCTAAAAAAGCATATTACAAAGGGGTGTGTTTTACTGGGCTGTGATTGCTGTGTCATACATTCACAGCCACATTTACCTAAAAAAAAAAACAGAAGTTAAAAGTAGGTTCAATCATCACTTTTATCGTTATCACAATAGTACCACAAAATCCTGTGATAAAACTTTTAGTCCATATTGCCCACCCATATTCTGTTATTTAACAATGGAAAGGGTGTAGCATTTCTGGTGCCAATGACTTGTTGGGGATGACGTTTGCTAAGCAGTGACTCTGGATGAGCTGCAGAGGTCCACAGGTCAGGTGGAAGTGACAGGTTGCCATACAGAAACATGTAGCAGTGGTCTTTGAGTCTGGAAACCTTTCGGTGTGTCTCTGCGGTTTTTGGCAGCTCACACCTTCCTCCTTCCTCTGACCCTCAGCTCTGGGCGTAGGAGTTGACAACTTTGTCCGGTGTCCCTTGGAGGCCCTCAGCTGGTCCCGAAGGAGGAGCCTCATCCTGGAGGAGATTCTGGCCTACCGACCTCACATCCTCTGTCTGCAGGAGGTAGACCACTACTATGACACCTTCCAGCCGGTTTTGGCGAACCTGGGCTACAGCAGCCATTTCTGTCCGAAGCCCTGGTCTCCATGCCTGGACGTAGAAGGCAACAGTGGTCCCGACGGCTGTGCCCTCTTCTTTGACGAGTCCAGATTCGAGCTCCTGGACAGTGTGAACATCAGACTCTCGGCCATGATGATCCCCACAAATCAAGTGGGTAACATTGGTCACACTTTATTTGAAGGGGTGTGCA